TATTGTTTATCATCATCGTTCGGAGGTCGAACGATGTTTTACTCACAAGTGGTTTTGTCGAAGCGCGGTCCATTAGCAAAAATATGGATCGCGGCTCATTGGGAGAAGAAACTGACGAAGGCGCAGGTTTTCGACACTAATATAGACAAAGCTGTCGAAAGCATCCTGGAGCCGAAGGTATGGCTGCTTTGTCGTTAGTCGTAGTCGCCCATTCGTTACACAAGAGTTGCAGGTGAAAATGGCATTGCGTACGACAGGCCACCTGTTGCTGGGCATCGTTCGCATATATTCGAGGAAGGCAAAATATCTGCTTGCCGACTGCAGCGAGGCGTTTTTGAAGATGAAGATGTCTTTTCGGCCGGGCGTCCCCGTTGATCTTCCGGAAGACAGTCGTCAGGCGGCGATGAACACTATAACGCTGCCCGAGGTGTTTCACGATTTCGACAGCGCGCTGCCGGATTTAAGGTGCGGCTTTGATTGTATAACTTGCAGTTCTTACTTTTCATCTTTGTAACTTGGAAAGTTGAATAATTTGTTTAAAGCAAATGTAATGTCATTTGCATGACAAGCAAATTTTTCTGTAATGTATGGAAAAATTTGGTAATTGTTCTTAAATGAACAAGTGTGCCGTTCATGGCCCGAAATTTGTGCCTATCCCCTCCCGTTGGTCATGTTCATTCGGTACGTCAGAGTGTCTTCGGCAGTCTCCCCGCAGGCTCACCTGTGCACTTGAAATGGAGCGCGAAATACGGGCACATTTCTTGAATGCCATGGTGAAAGCGTTTTCAGCGTAGCATTCAGGCACAAATTGCGTATGGCTATAGCCGCCATAGAATTAAGCGCGATTTCGATCGTCATAGCCAACCTGCGAGTCCCGTTTCCCAGCACACGCTCTGTTCCGCCCGTAGAATGTTAGACTTGTGGTCGGAAGATCGCGAGTTATGTCCCCGGTCAAGTGACTCGTTTTTTACCCTTCTGAGATGCTTAAATGAGCAAATGAGCATTACTTTACGGAAAGGAAAGCGGAAAGTTGCACGCCATAGAGTGCTGAACATATTATAGCCTTAAACAAGGAAAGTATCCAAGTGCCCGGGCTGTTGAGACAGGCAGAAATTAGCTCCGTGCCATAAACTCAGATGGCTGTATAGTTCAGTGTCCAGATTTCTAAGCCAGTGGATGTCCGCAGTAGTATTCGGAACATCAGTGATGCTGCCGTCGAGCTCGTTTGGAAATAGTTTGTTGCATGGTCTAATCTTCTTGGCCGCATTCACACTTGACTTCATCTTCCAGCCGTGGAGACGGTTTCCTCAGTGTCACTA